CTTTTGGAAGTCTATCCTACAACCCACTGGAAGTCCAACATTCAACCCAGTGGAAGCTCCACCTGCATCCCACTGGTAGTGCTATCTGCAACGCCGTGTTATTCCCTCCTGCACCCCATTGGAAGTTTCTCATGCAAGGTAGTTTTTCTTGTAACCCTCTGGTAGTTCCACCTGCAACCTACTGGTAGTCCCATCTGCACCCCGCTGGAAATTCCACCTGCAACCCACTGGCAGCTGGTTACAGCTGCAACTACCAGTAAGTTTCAGGAAAGACTTCCAGTTGCATGCTAACAGGCTTATGACTGGGTTACAGGGAGAACTAGCAGTGAACTGTGGTTTTGTACAACCAGTGGGTTGCATTAAAGACTACCAACCACTTGGTGGTTGCTGGAGAAGCAAGCAGTGGGTTACACTGGGACAACAAGTGAGTTGCAAATGTGACTACAAGTTCATTTCTGGAAGACTCACCAGTGAGTTGCACGAATGCCTACCAATGAGTTACACAGGAAGGCCTACCAGTAGGATGTAGGAGAAAATATCAATGGACTGCAGGATGGTCCCGTAGTGGATTGCAGGGAGGTATACCAGTGGGTTGCAGGAGGGTACTGCCAGTTGGTTACAGAAAGGGCTACTAGTGAGTTACAGGAGGGTACTACCAGAGCGTTACATGAAGGACTACCAGTGGATTGCATGAAGATCTACGACTGGGTTGCATGAAGGTCTTCCAGTGAGTGGTTGCATGAAGTACTACCAATGGATTAATCAAGGGATTAATCAAAACAGACCAGGTAATCCAGCCAGACCCATAATTAGCTCTTTAGGTTCAGTTTTCTAGAAATAACCTAAATGGCTAGTAGATACATTGAGCCCAATTGTTGGCAAAGTTTCTAACTTTAATGTTAAGAATGATATTTAGTTGATAAATTAGGCACCATAACTCGCTTAAATAATTGCAGTATAGTTTTGATGCCACTTCATTGTTAACAAAAGTTTCAGTAAGTTTCCTCTCTGAAAACCTCGATAATTACGATTTACCTTTGCCTGTGCAAACAATCATTGAGCTTAAGAAACTTTGTATTGGTGATGTAAAGTTTAAGTTTAATGGCGATTTCTACAGTCATAACTTTGGTATGGCAATGAGAAATCCTCTTTCATGAGTCCTTAGCAATTTGCATATGGAATATTTTGAAACAGGATTGCTTAACAGATTTCTTCGCGATAAAGCTAAGTGGTACAGCTATGTTGATGATATTTTATGCTTAATGTTTAAGAATATATATATATATATATATATATATATATATATATATATATATATATATATATGTATGTATGTATATTGTGCATACATATATTGTATATATATATATATATATATATATATATATATATATATATATATATATATATATATATATTATATATATATATATATATAATATATATAAACCATTTCCTTCTTGAATTAAATAGTCTAGCTTCTAACATAATGTTTACTGTTGAGTTTAAACAAAATAGCTCATTTGTCTTAATTATTAAGAGGAACCATGAAATTAAATTGAAAATAGCAGAAAACCAACAAATAACTGTTCTTAAGTACTATATTATTTTTCACATCATGATAGTCACACATTCTGTATTCTCATCCATGACTCACGAAATCGTAATGACACAATTGCAAACCATCTATACCAAGGGCGGGAATTGAACTCGTGGCGAATGATTCGTAAAACTCCAGGCCAGCGCATAGCTACCTGGAGCAGTGGCTTCCACACTGACCTGGAGTTTTACGACTCACCGCGAGTTCAATCCCCGCCCATGGTATGGTTTTTTATCCTCACCCATTTTTTGAGAGCTTTGCGTATTTGCGATTCAGACATCATAGATGAGAAATTTTGAAATAGCAAATGATCTAAGATTGCGCTAAACCCACAAGAGTCATACAGTGCTGTTAAAATTCCCTTAAAACCTTATTGACAATTATTTTAAAATTGCCAGAAATACATTTTACAATTCAAAAAATGACAGACATATTCAACCAAGAATATGTTGGTTTTTTCTTACAACGAAAACCCTGATATAATTTCTCTGCTTAAGAATTTTAAAATCAAAATTGTATTTATAAATACTGATACAGTAAAAGAAAAAAACATTTGATTAAAAATTCTCCCAGAAATGCTGATGGTTGTGCCTACAAGATTCCTAGTAAAAAATAATCACTGAAGTTAATTATGGACAAACTGATAATAATCTTGAACTAAGATTACAACAATATAAATATCGCATTAGAAGTGGACAACGTTTGATGCTGTTTATTCATGTGAGAGATTTAAACCATGCAATAGATTTTCTAAAGGCCGAAAAAGTTGTATTTAGCAGGTTAATGGTTGAGAGAAATATAATCAAATAAACCTTAGTAGTATTGATTTTAATATGAAGATTAGTTTATGGATTTATAGTAGATTCATTTATAATTATTAGAATTTGTAAGGCATTTAAATGCCTGACATGTCGCTCATAAATCTTATTTGATTTGTTACCCGACCAAATATTAGCTAATCTCTCGTTTAGCATGCTGAATGAGGTGTGAGGTCGCCTTTTTATAATTAATTCCTTGATAATGTGAGAAGTGACGAAAGCGAGACAACCTCTACTCATGCAGCCAGATGGTGTTAACTCAGAAAATTCATAAAATCTAAAATTTTAATCGTTCTCTAATCTTTTTCACCGGTAATTAACCTAGCAGTAACTGGCCTTCTTCAGGTCTACCAGCGGGAGAGTCACGTGTCGTGACCGGACAGAATACCATCGTGGGAGACCTGGAGAGATACACCAACTACTCTGTCAGTGTGGCTGCCTCCACAAGGGCTGGCCTCGGCGTCGCCTCACACCCTGTCAACTGTGCTACGGAGGAAGACGGTAAGTAGAGTTGTCGGTATCAGTTATCAAGGTTTTATACCAATTCCTAACATACAACCAGAGATTTATTAAGTTGAGCTGGGCAGAGGCAGTGCCTGAGGCTGGTTTGTGTGTCAGGAGTCAAACGAAGCAGCACTGCCTGACCACCAGCCTACTTGAGACGTTGTAAGATGGGGAGGGGGAGCGGGGGGGATGAGCAGTTCAGCGATGCCACCCTTTGAAATTTTTTCAAGTTCCTGGGATTTGGTGGTAAAATGTAAAAAGACAGACAATCTCGGTATTTTTGTTGCATTCTAATAACTATTTTCATATTTTCACACTTCAGCTACTTAACTACCTGTGTCCAGTACTCATCAGTTGTCACTCGTGGCTCTCGCTCTCGACTTTGCAAGTAGGTTCATGCATTTGGATCATTGTTCTTATTACTGTATTCCCTAAAGTGATATTAAAATTAGTGACTCTGGAGATGTCCAAAAGTGTGGTATCAGCAAGAATTTAAAGCGCGAGTGGATGGATCACCCAGAACCGCAAGACCACACTTAAAGTGTGACTCATCAGATAAATATGCTGCTTTGTGTATGGTATGTGATTTTACGTTGAAGAATTGTAATATGTCATCTCATATGGCTCGTAAAGCTTCCTTAGATTTAGCATGTAAGAAATGCTGTTGGATACTCAGTATTCAACAACATTTTATAAAGGTATCAGGACTTGCTCATCATGCTTAGGTTGCAAAAGCAGAATTAATCATCTCAGGTTTCCTGGCAGAACACGACATGGCATTCTTCGGGCGAGTCACTTGGTGTCTACCAAGTGACTCCACACCACCATATGTCCTTGGGTAGCGAGTGTGGTCAGGTGGATTAAAGCATCATGAGTTTTCGCCCACCCTGAGGCAGGCCAGTGCAGCATGGCTTCGGCTCCTTGACTAATCGCAGTGTTATTATGATCAATACCACTTGTTCGTGGGTACAATAATATATATATATATATATAAACACTGATCTCTGGCTGAAGGAGACTCGAACCTACGAACCTTAGGACAAGGTACGCAGTGCTTTACCAATCTACCCACACTGGACCAGTGTGGGTAGATTGGTAAAGCACTGCGTACCTTGTCCTAAGGTTCGTAGGTTCGAGTCTCCTTCAGCCAGAGATCAGTGTTTGTGTATATTTCGCATGCTCTCGCGAATTCCTTGCATATATATATATATATATTATATATATATATATATATATATATATTATATATGCATGCATGCATGCATGCGCAAAACAACCACTGTGAAAGAATAGTGAAATTCCAAGCGCTTTCGTGACTCATATTGTGAGTAGTCACGAAAGCGCTTGGAATTTCACTATTCTTTCACAGTGGTTGTTCTGCATATTCTGAAATCACTTGTTTACTTTGATCAAATGGATTTGTCAGTTAAAAATAGAATAGGAGAGTTGGTAGATGGGGAGATGGAGGTATTGGGTAGATGGCGAGAATACTTTGAGAACTTTTAAATGGCGACGAAGAAATGGAGGCGGTAATTTCATGCACTGGCCAGGGAGGTATACCATCTTTTAGGAGTGAAGAAGAGCAAGATGTGAGTGTGGGGGAGGTGCGTTAGGCAATACGTAGAATGAAAGGGGGTAAAGCAGCTGGAACTGATGGGATCATGATAGAAATGTTAAAAGCAGGGGGGGATGTAGTGTTGGAATGGTTGGTACTTTTGTTTAATAAATGTATGAAAGAGGGGAAGGTACCTAGGGAAGGGGACAAAAGAGATTGTAAAAATTATAGAGGAATTAGTTTACTGAGTATAAAAGGAAAAGTGTATGGTAGGGTTATTATTGAAAGAATTAGAGGTAAGACAGAATGTAGGATTACGTATGAGCAAGGAGGTTTTAGAGTGGGTAGGGGATGTGTAGATCAGGTGTTTACATTGAAGCATATATGTGAACAGTATCTAAATAAAGGTAGGGAAGTTTTTATTGCATTTATGGATTTAGAGAAGGCATATGATAGAGTGGATAGAGGAGCAATGTGGCAGATGTTGCAAGTATATGGAATAGGTGGTAAGTTACTAAATGCTGTAAAGAGTTTTTATGAGGACAGTGAGACTCAGGTTAGGGTGTGTAGAAGAGAGGGGGACTACTTCCCGGTAAAAGTAGGTCTGAGACAGGGATGTGTAATGTCACCATGGTTGTTTAATATATTTATAGATGGCGTTATAAAAGAAGTAAATGCTAGGGTGTTCGGGAGAGGGGTGGGATTAAATTATGGAGAATCAAATACAAAATGGGACATGACAATTTTTGCTGATGATACTGTGCTTATGGGTGATTCTAAAGAAAAATTACAGAGGTTAGTGGACGAATTTGGGAGTGTGTGTAAAGGTAGAAAGTTGAAAGTGAACATAGAAAAGAGTAAGGTGATGAGGGTATCAAATGATTTAGATAAAGAAAAAATGGATATCAAATTGGGGAAGAGGAGTATGGAAGAAGTGAATGTTTTCAGATATTTGGGAGTTGACGTATCAGCGGATGGATTTATGAAGGATGAGGTTAATCATAGAATTGATGAGGGAAAAAAGGTGAGTGGTGCTTTGAGGTATATGTGGAGACAAAGAACGTTATCTATGGAGGCAAAGAAGGGAATGTATGAAAGTATAGTGGTACCAACACTCTTATATGGGCGTGAAGCTTGGGTTGTAAATGCTGCAGCGAGGAGGCGGTTGGAGGCAGTGATGTCCTGTCTAAGGGCAATGTGTGGTGTAAATATTATGCAGAAAATTCGGAGTGTGGAAATTAGAAGGTGTGGAGTTAATAAAAGTTTTAGTGAGAGGGCTGAAGAGGGGTTGTTGAGGTGATTTGATCATTTAGAGAGAATAGATCAAAGTAGAATGACATGGAGAGTGTATAAATCTGTCGGGGAAGGAAGGCCGGATAGGGGTCGTCCTCGAAATGATTGGAGGGAGGGGGTAAAGGAGGTTGTGTGGGCGAGGGGCTTCGACTTCCAGCAAGCGTGCATGAGCGTGTTAGATAGGAGTGAATGGAGACGAATGGTATTTGGGACCTGACGAGCTGTTGTAGTGTGAGCAGGGTAATATTTAGTGAAGGGATTCAGGGAAACTGGTTATTTTATATAGCCGGACTTGAGTCCTGGAAATGGGAAGTACAATGCCTGCACTTCAAAGAAGGGGTTTTGGGACATTGGCAGTTTGGAGGGATATGTTGTGTATCTTTATACGTATATGCTTCTAAACTGTTGTATTCTGAGCACTTCTGCAAAAACAGTGATTATGTGTGAGTGAGGTGAAAGTGTTGAATGATGAAAGTATTTTTGGGGGGGGGGATTTTCTTTCTTTTTGGGTCACTCTGCCTCGGTGGGAGACGGCCGATTTGTTAATATATATATATATATATATATATATATATATATATATATATATATATATATATATATATATATATATATATATATATATATATATATATATATATATATTTCATCGGCCGTTTCCCACCAAGGCAAGGTGGCCTGAAAAAGAAAAACTTTCAGCCTCATTCACTCCATCACTGTCTTACCAGAGGCATGCTTATGTAACAATTATAAAACTGCAACATTAACACCCCTCCTTCAGAGTGCAGACACTGTACTTCCCATCTCCAGGACTCAAGTCCGGCCTGCCGGTCTCCCTGATTCCCTTTGTAAATGTTACCTTCCTTACACTCCAACAGCACGTCAAGTCCTAAAAACCATTTGTCTCCATTCACTCCTGTCTAACACGCTCACGCACGCTTGTTGGAAGTCCAAGCCTCTCACACACAAAACCTCCTTTACCCCCTCCCTCCAACCTTTTGCAACTCCCCTACCACGTTCAGCTTTGTCTCGCTTAGGGCTAGGACATCCAACTTCTTTTCATTCATAACTTTTGCAATCACCTCTTTCTTATCATCTTCACTACATCCACGCACATTCAAACATCCCAATTTTATAAAGTTCTTCTTTTACTTCTGTTAAGTAATTTATACAGGAGAAGAGGTTACTAGTCCAATGCTCCCGGCATCTAGTCACCTCCTACAACACGCATAGGTTACGGAGGAAGAATTCTGTTCCACTTCCCCATGGAGATAAGCAGAAACAAACAAGAACAAGAACTAGGAAGTGAATAGAAGAAAACCCAGAGGGGTTAGTATATATATATATATATATATATATATATATATATATATATATATATATATATATATATATATATATATATATATATATATGCTTGTACATGCATGTGTAGTGTGACTTAAGTGTAAATAGAAGTAGCAAGACCTGCAATCTTGCATACTTTTGAACAGAAAAAGACACCAGCAATCCTACCATCATGCAGAACAATTAAAGGCTTATGTTTCACACTCATTTGAAAGGACGGTAGTACCTTCCTGGGTGACTGCTGGCCACCAACCTACTACCATATATATATATATATATAATATATATATATATATATATATATATATATATATACAAAACAACCACTCTGAAAGAATAGAGAAATTCCTAGCGCTTTCGTGACTACTCACATTATCAAGGAACTATGAAAGTAAAGCATCCAAGGAAGCTATATAAGGGGTCTGGCCAACACCTCACTATCAGATCCCACAACGGTTAAACACCTGACGCGGCAGGCCCAACTGGACGGTTCCTTTGCACAACCCACCAACAAACTATTCTACCCAAGAAAATTTAAAAATTATTATTTGTCCAGTGTATTATTAAATTCTTCCCAAATTCTATTAATTATAAATGGATCTAATTTATATAAACCAAAGGAAATATTCATATTATTGTCAAAACTGCTTTTTATGAAACAAGATTCAATTATATTCCTGTCGACCATGGACTTGCTTGATACTACTTTCTCAACTTTTTGAAAATCAATTGGATGGTTAAAATCTCTTACATGAATAAATAGAGCATTGGAATCTTGTCCAGTTCTAATGCTATATTTATGTTGTTTTAATCTTAGTTCGAGATTTTACCAGTTTGACCGTAATAAACTTTATCGCAAATTTTACAAGGAATCTTATAGACACATCCATCAGCATATGGGGGAATTCTTATCAAAAGTTTTTTTACTGTATCAAGATGTTTGAATACAAACTTTAATATTAAAAGTCTTAAGAAGAGAAGGCTATCAAACGAAGTTTTCATGGTAAGGGAGAACCAACATATTTTTACTTGAATAAGGCTGGTTGTCCCTTTTCGGATTGTAAAAAGTATTTCTAGCAACTTTAAAAGATTTATCAATTACATTTCTTGGGTATTTTAAATCATTGCCTATTTCTAAATTTTGGATATTTCCTCGTCTATGAACTCAGGACTACAAATTCGTAAAGCTCTCAAAACATTGATGAGAAAACAGACAGTTTGACTTTATCTGATGCGAGGAATATATATATATATATATAATATATTATATATATATATATATATATATATTATATATATATATATATATATTATATATATATATATATATATATATCTTCTTTCTTTCTTTCTTTCAACAAACCGGCCGTATCCCACCGAGGCAGGGTGGCAAAAAAGAAAAAACGAAAGTTTCTCCTTTTACATTTAGTAATATATACAGGAGAAGGGTTACTATCCCCTTACTATCCCTTGCTCTAAAGTTTGCACCTCAATTACTGGGATCTTTTCAAAGCCTTAAACCTGTACTCCTTGAAGCTCAGAAGAGAGAGGTCAATCATAATTTATCCCTGGAAAATCCTAGAGGGACTGGTCCTAAATCTGCATGCAGAAATCAGTCCCTTAGAGAGCAAGACTCGGGTGGCGGTTCAACATTCCCTTAATGAAAAGCAGAGCTGCCATGAGTATACAGAGAGAAAACACTATGAGTCTCAAAGGCCCAAAACTGTTTAACAGCCTCCCATCGTACATAAGGAGGATTACGTATAGACCCCTGGCTGTCTTCAAGAGGGAACTGGACGAATACCTAAAGCCAGTGCCGGACCAGCCAGGCTGTAGTTCATTCTTTGGATTCTGTGTCTGCAGCATTAACAGCCTGTTTAATCAAGTCTGGATTTACCATAAGGCCTAGTCATGAAGGTCCTTGGTACATTTTCCAGTTCTGCAGCTTCTCTTGCCATGAAGGGGGGCCATTAGTACACACCAATACTAGAGTCTAGAGAGAGGGGAGTGACTTAGTGTTAATTATTTTCATTGTAGATGCAATAACATTATTACGCTCTTTGAATGTAAGGTCTTTCGACATTATCAGTTGCAGATCTCTCACAGACTTACGCTCTATCCAGTGCTCAAGTTTATCCTGTTTTTATTTATTGCAAATTTCCCCTTACGTAGTAAGTGAAATTTGTCTTCATTGAGCATTATATTGTTGTTATTAAGCTCACTGGAAAACTTGGTTGCTTTCAGCTTGAAGACTCGCTGTGTCTTCTATGGATGATACTCCCATGATCCTAGTATCGTCTGCAAAGGATGGTGGAGTATTATGGTTTATGTCCCTTTCTATGTCAGATATGAGAATCAGGAAGAGAAGTAGGATATGTGTTGGGCTTGTAGTAGGCTCTGATTTTATTCTGTTTATTACTCTTAGGAAGGTAAATATCCATATGCCCACCTTTCCATCTATACTCTTTTCAGGCATTTGTGAGTTTTCTTGGCTTCTGGTATACCTAAGGTCATGCTTTAATGGTCCAGCAATTGCCAGAGGCAGGAGCGACGTGTTCTGAACCCATGTTGACCTGGGTTGTGCAACTGCTGTAGTCACATATCACTGGCAGATGATAATTGTCCTTAATACTTTTTCAAAAACCTTGATAATGCGAGAAGTCATCGCTATCTGTCTATCTTTTTTTTCAATGGCTTTGTTGCCGCCTTTGTAGAGTGGGGTTATATTGGTGTTTTGAATGATTGTGGGGATAATTCCAGTGTACAGGCTGCTTCTGCATAGAATATTTAAGGTAGGTGATGACGGCTTCCTGCAGTTCTTCATCATTGTCTCGTTCATAAAGAATTTCTGAACATTGAATCATATTGGGATTTGAGTATTTCATTTATTTCCTTGTTGTTGTCATTGTATGTTCCGTCTCTTTTAATTAAAAACCCGCTATTAGTTTTTTTCGTTTGTTTTTTGCCCTAGATTTTGCATATGAGAAGAAATATTTTGCGTTTCTTTCAGTTTTATTTATGGCCTCATTTGTTCCCACTGTCTTTCCTGACTCTCTGTGACAGAATGAATTTGAGCTTACCGTTTTCTTTTCCCAGCTGGTCTTGCTTTTCTTACTGCAGAGTCTGCTGCCTTTGAGTTCTGTTATCGGTTGTCTTCGCCTATAGAGGGCGTGCCGTTCCCAGCTTTCCAACTCTTCCTGGAGAACTACAATAATACACATAGACACAATATAAAAAAATGAGTACCCCTTTGATATACTGCAATGTTGGACTCAATCTATCTAGGAACTTAATGTAAATAAATGACCTCAAAATTTGAAATCCCTTCCAGAAGATGACAAATGTTCCTTATCTGTCACTTAAAAATTATGCTTATAAATCGAATCCTAAATCTGACCTAAATTCTGCATAGATAAATTCTGCTCAAGCTCAATTTACCAGCAGAAACATATGTAAAAGCAAAAAATATGTATAACTTAAGTATCCACCACTACAGATATTATACCCAGTTGTTATGAAAAATATCCCAAAATGTCATATATCATAATTCAATATCAGAAACTGCAAACTATAGCATTCTTGTAAATTAACCTGTAAGTTAATTTTAAATATGCAGGAAATGCTCTGCATAACCACAGGTTTTCTTTAAATTAATTGATCCTTTGTAAATTATATACTGTATAAAAAATATAAATTATCATTGTCATCATTATCTGTTTTCTGAAGGTTTAAATTATCACACGAACCTGTGTCACTTCTCTTCTCTGCTGTAACAGTGCCACAAGCACCAGCTGGGATCAAAGCTGTGGTGAGTGGAGCAGAAAGTGTGGTGGTGGCCTGGTCACCACCACAGCGTAGCCACGGTATCATCACCAAGTATATCCTCTACGTCCGAGCCCCGCCGGACAGAGATGCCACCAAGAGAATATTGCCCCCTCAGGTAGGTCTGTCCCTCTTTTTACATCTGCTCACCGTCACAACCCGTGTCATCTCTACCTCCATCATGTTCTCACCACCATTGTCACTTTCCATTGTCACTCTCACAAATTATTCAACACGTCTGTCATGTTGTTTAGTGTTGGCGTCCTGAATATGTGCAATTACACAGGGGGTCTTAAATTGTATTTGTAATCATATTCATTTAATAATAGTAATAGCATTGAATATAATATAATAATAATAGTTTTTTTTAACAAACCGTGGTGTGACTACTTGAGTGTCAACAGACCCGCTGGCTGGAAGTGACTGAGCTGAAACCTCATCACCGCTACGAGATGTGGGTGACTGCTGCTACCAGGGTGGGCGAGGGGCCTTCTTCTGCTCTTGTCTCCGCCACCCCATCTTCCACAGGTACGTAGCCAGGCTCGCTTCCAAGGGTATTCATGGGTCATTGAGTGTATCAGGAGATACTCTTCATCAAGTACAGTCAAATCCCTGTTTGTACGTGCTTAGGATCAAATCTGGATTATTTGGTGCTACCTGTAGCAACTTGGGATAAAGTAAGATAAGTCGAGCTGTTTGCATGTATTCTTGAATCATGTACAGGTCACTGGGGCTGTCTGTAGGAATTCTGGAATAAATTTGGATCACTAGAACTGTCTGTAGATACTTTAGATTACGTAAGGATCACAAAGGATAACTGTAAGCACTTTGGAATAAAGTAATAATAATAATTAATAATAATAATAATTATTATTATTATTTCTTCAAGTACATGTGCAATACGCAGGCCTAGCTGGCATCAATGGCATACTACTATACAGAAAGCCCCTTGTTATGCAGAGCATTTCTGGCAAATTAGGTCACTTTCGTCCCACACCAGTCGATTAACACCCAGGTACCTATTTTACTGACAGGTGAACAGGGACAGCAGGTGTCTTATGGAAACAAGTCCTGTTTCCAAAAGTACCGGGGAGCGAACCACGGACCTCACTATATCTGCATTTTTCTTGTCTTCTGGTGTACCTAAGGTCATGCAGCAATTGCGAGAGGAAGGAGCGACGTGTTCTGAACCCATGTTGACCTGGGTTATGCAGCTGCTGTAGTTCCATATGACTGGCAGATGATAATCTTCCTTAAAACTTTTTTTGAAAACCTTGATAATGCGAGAAGTCATCCCTCTCAGTCTATCTTTTTTTGCAATGGCTTTGCTGCCGCCTTTGTAGAGTGGGGCTCTATTGGTGGTTTGATGTGAGCTGACTGCACTAACAATCGAGCTATGGGACACCGATAACTAGAGTTGTCTGTAGGTGTTCTGGGTCAAGAATAATCACTGTGGCTGTCAATGTGTACTCTAGCATCAAGTACAGATCACTGCATCAGTCTATAGGCTAGGTTTACTATATTTGTCTGAGGATAATTTGGATAACCTTGAATCATTGTGGTTGTCTGTAGGCACTCTGGAGTCTAGTTTACCCTTAAAGATAAGTTAAATTTCTCCCCTCCCTTGATGTCTGTTTTCACAAACACAAACAGTTACAATGGTTTAGATTAAACCAAAATTCCACCAACGCAGATGACCTCATTCACTTTTACCATGTTGCCAGACCTATAGAATTTGCAGCAGTGAGTATCTTGAGGAAGAATGGCTTTCCATGTACGAAATTGTCTCTTCCCTCAAATTTCAGTTTTATTTAAATATCAAGTGCAGATGTAGAGAACAACATATGTGAAACCTTAGCAAAAATACGATTTTTGTTAAGGTTTTCATACTGTTCAGACAGACCTCCACAACAAACCTACTCTCCAAACGTTCATTTTCATCACTGCTGTACTAAAAATCATTAAAGATATCACCCTTCCTAACTTCCACAAAACTTCCAAGAACACAGAATACATGAAAACAATCTCCTATGCAGGGAACGAAATGATTTCCTTGTGTAAGGCAGCCCCGTAGCCTTGATATCAGGTTCAGGAAGACAAATTTGCATGCAGGATACACAGCATGAACAACGTATGCCTAATACCCAGAGATAAACTCGCGTACCACGAGGAGTGGGACATATCCAAACTCCTCTTAACCCTGGAAGAAATTCTTAGAAAGTGCCAGGAAGTAGCCGTCATAAGGCCGCATAACACCGGTCATCTTCTAGGTGACCTTTCCACACAACTTTCCACACAACTTTCCACACAACGTCCCTTCTACACAAAGCCACTACTCACCAGAGCTCCCACACGATGACCTCCCACTTTCCTGTCTTCACTGTATATGTAATCCTTTTCTATTTGTCACCTGGTTCACGCATCACCACCTGTGACTTGACCTATCATTTCACTGTCTTCACTGCATATGATGTGACTTTTATATAACGAACACAATTGGGCCTGCAGTACCTGGCCGTGCTAGATACCAGCTAATAGGGCAGTCAAGAGTACAATCAAAGAATTGGAATAAAGTATACACCAGATGATAGTTTTGGAGCTAACGATATACTAATTTTTTTTATTTTTGTCCAATTTCCATTAAATTTTTAGTGATTTAAACAGCATTTGAAACCTACACACTGTGTTTGTAGTGACTTTTTGCCGTAATAAATAAAAAAAAATATTGCCCTATTCTATAGGGCATAAAATTCTCCCTTATCTACAAAATTGATAAGATATACAATGATCTAGTTGACATCAGATGAAAGATAAGGACTACATAATCTTGGTACCAAGGCCATTTGAGCGAAGATGGCAATAGATTGCATAACAAAAAATGTTGAATTTTATTATTTTTAAGGATTTTTTTGGGGAGAAAAAAAAATCATTAAAAACAAAGCGGTAAAAAATATCACAAATCCCCTTTGCATACTAGTAGAACCATCATTACTCAATAACCTGTGCAAAAATCATGACACTTATAAATACTTTTCGCGAAAAATAGAAAATGTCAATAACTTATTCCTGAGTTATACATATACATGTATTATGTTTTCTGTAAAACTCTATGGTCACGGTGTGCAACATTTCAGTATGTTGCACACCTCAACGCATTTTGACAGCCCACAGGCGACTGAGCTGTTATCACTTCCGAATTTGAGTGGAGTCCTCAGAGAAGTTGCAATGTAGTGTATTTAGAATGAAACAATCATAAAAATCATAATTTTTCGAGCAAAAAAAAAAAAAACACACAAATTGCCACCATATCTTTTTGATGACAGCAAGAACAAAAAAAATTACATTTTTGGAAAAACATACTTAGAAATATGATAGAAACGAGCTGATTACATTAACATGTTGCCAGAATTATGCACTATTTCTCGGTAAGCAAACATTTTTTCCCATAATTTTTCGATTTTCCTTTTTTTATCACTCCTAGAACGCCAGCCCCCTCCTTAAACATATATTCCCACCATCAGAGAGCATGAGCAGTTATTTACACGATGCATAATGGATATGAATCTGTAACCCAAGCTGTGAGTAAAGTTTAGGTCTGTGAATAGAGTTTGGGTGTAGAATAGCTGTAGCTATTCCAGACCCATATAGTAAACAGAATTCTTGCATGGTGGGGGCCAGCCCATGGCAGGTGAGGGTTTGAGGATCAAGGCTGCATGTACATGTGTGTAAACGTCAGCTAAACATCTTTTCCCTCACTCAAACGAGCAGCTGCCTCCAGCCCATAGTTTGGACACCCCGTACTAGGCTGGTGCACACATCCTGGCAAGAATTTGCCAACCAGCCTTCCACTTCCGTCTTCACTGCATTTAATATGACATATCCTTACCTATCTGCAGTCATGATAAGTTTCACTCTTGAGTGCAGCATTATACAATAACTGCCTTAGTCAGTATTACTTGCCTTTATACCTAATTTGCTCCCAATTTACAGCCATTACCATTAATAAAAATAATTCTAACTACATCCATAATCTGTTTCAAGTTATAAGCAAAATTATTTAACTATTAGGCGGATTGCTTGGTTCTTAGTTCAGCTGGTGAAGCCCAGTGTGATGGCAAAGTTAGCCAGAGGCAGGGAACTGTCGCAGCCTGAGAATAATAAACAGTAGGAAAATTTCGAGGGAATGCAGAGAGGTAGATTTGAATTTTTGGAAATGGGATGAATAATTTCCTAAGTCGGGTGACGATCTAGCTGTTCAGGGAACCATGATGTTTGTACCCTTCTGGAAAGATAGCTGTGGAGCAAGTGATGGTAAATGTGTTTCTTCTTCCGGTCACCCAACCTTGGCAAGAAACTGCCAGTGCGGTAAATAAAAAAGTATTTATATAACAAAAATAATTTCGATAATTTTTCCGCAATAATATTAATTTTGAAGAATATAAGTGACAATAAGAGGCAACAACAATTGACAACTCATTATTATGAGGAAATTTTAGGCAACATTTCGATCAGTCCTTGACCATTACATAGCCATCCGCTGCTTGATAGTGTTCCAAGGCTTATCGAAACGTTGTATAATGTTTAAACTTGGAATAGTGGGATTGTTCTATATATTTTAACTGAATGTATTTCCTGCATATTGGACAGTGATGGCAGGAGTGTATGGTGTGGGAGGTGAGGTGAGGGTTTCCCAGGGCACCGACCTCCTGCTAGACTGCCCACACGTCGGCATACCCACACCCACCATCACCTGGAGATGTAACAACGCTCCCATCACCAGTGTTACCAGGTGAGACTACTACCACCATCACCAGTGTTACCAGATGAGACTACTACCACCATCTCCAGTGTTGCCAGGTGAGACTACTACCACCATCACCAGTGTTACCAGGTGAGACTACTACCACCATCACCAGTGTTACCAGGTGAGACTACTACCACCATCACCAGTGTTACCAGGTGAGACTACTACCACCATCACCAGTGTTACCAGGTGAGACTACTACCACCATCACGAGTGTTACCAGGTGAGACTACTACCACCAACACCAGTGTTACATAAGAACATAAGAAAGGAAGAACACTGCAGCAGGCCTGTTGGCCCATACTAGGCAGGTCCTTTACAATCCATCCCACTAACAAAACATTTGCCCAACCTAATTTTCAATGCTCCCCAAGAAATAAGGTCTGATATCTCTATCCACTCATTTGCAAGTCCCACTCAAATCCATCCCCTCCCACTCATATATTTATCCAACCTAAATTTGAAGCTACCTAAAGTCCTAGCCTCAATAACCCAACTACGTAGACTGTTCCACTCATCAACTACCCTATTTCCAAACCAATACTTTCCTATGTCCTTTCTAAATCTAAACTTGTCTAATTTAAATCCATTACTGCGGGTTCTCTCTTGGAGAGATATCCTCAAGACCTTATTAATATCCCCTTCATTAATGCCTATCTTCCACTTATACACTTCGATCATGTCTCCCCTCATTCTTCGTCTAACAAGTGAATGTAATTTAAGTCTTCAATCTTTCTTCATAAGGAAGATTTCTAATGCTATGTATTAATTTAGTCATTCTACGCTGAATGTTTTCTAACGAATTTATGTCCATTCTGTAATATGGAGACCAGAACTGAGCTGCATAATCTAGGTGAGGCCTTACTAATGATGTATAAAGCTGCAGTATAACCTCTGGACTTCTGTTGCTTACACTTCTTGATATAAATCCCAATAATCTATTTGCCCTATTACGTACGCTTAGGCACTGCTGTCTTGGTTTAAGGTTACTGCTCACCATAACCCCCAAGTCCTTTTCACAATCTATATGGCTAAGTTCTACATTATTTAATTTATAAGTGCTAGGGTTATGGACACTCCCAAGCTTCAGAAGCTTGAATTTATCTACATTGAACTGCATCTGCCACTTTTCTGACCAGGTATTGAGTTTGCCTAAATCCTCCTGAAGTTCCCTGATATCTACGTTTGAACCAATTATCCTACCTATCTTTGTGTCATCGGTTCCCTGATATCTACGTTTGAATCAATTATCCTACCTATCTTTGTGTCATCGGCGAGTTTGCTCATTTCACTAGTAATTCCCTCATCAAGATCATTGATATATATTATAAATAACAACGGGCCCAAGACTGATCCCTGTGCCACTTGTTACAGATCCCCACTCGGATTTAACCCCATTTATGGACACACTCTGCTTCCTGTCAGTGAGCCATGACTCGATCCACGAGAGCACTTTTCCCCCAATGCCATGAGCTGCCACTTTCTTTAACAGTCTATGGTGCGGAACTCTATCAAAAGCCTTACTAAAATCTAAGTAAATAATATCAAATTCTTTATCGTGATCAACAGCCTCAAAAGCTTTACTGAAGAAAGTTAAGAAATTAGTTAGACAAAAACGACCTCTTGTGAATCCATGCTGAGTATCATTAATCAAGCTATGCTTATCGAGATGGCTTCTTATAATCTCAGCTATAATTGACTCTAGTAATTTGCCTACAATTGAGGTCAGGCTTATTGGGCTGTAATTTGACAGTAACGACTTGTCCCCTGCTTTAAAAATAGGAATTACATTAGCCATCTTCCACATATCAGACGCTACACCTGTTTGAAGAGATAAATTAAAAATATTAGCTAATGGTTCACAGAGTTCCATTTTGCATTCCTTAAGAACCCTTGAAAAAACCTCATCAGGACCCGGCGACTTATTTTGCTTCAGTCTGTCTATCTGCTTCACAACCATTTCACTAGTGACTGTGAGGTTAAATAATTTATCTTCCTGTGTAAAAACCAAGAGAAAATAATTATTTAAAATCGAGCACATTTCATTCTCTTTCTCAGTAAGATGCCCATAGTTATTTTTAAGGGGACTTATCTTTTCTGTAACTTTTGTTCTATACACCTGGAAAAAACTTTTTGGGTTAGTTTTAGAATCCCTAGCAACTTTAATTTCATAGTCCCTTTTAGCTTTTCTTACCCCCTTTTTAATGTCCTTCTTAATGTCAATATACTGATTCATAAGATGACCCTCACCTCCTTTGATACACCTATAAATTCCATTCTTATGCCCTAGTAGATATTTCAGCCTATTATTCATCCATTTTGGGTCATTTCTATTTGATCTAATTTCTTTATACGGGATAAACGTTCTTTGAGCAGCATGTATAGTGTTCAGAAAACTGTTACCCCAGTCAACAGATAAGTGTTCTCTAAGCCCATTGTAATCTGCTAAGCGAAAATCTGGGACTGTTACTGAGTTATCGCTACTATCAATGCTAAATGTCATTGATTTGTGGTCGCTAGCACCAAGTTCCTCTGAAATTTCTAAATTATTAACAAGGGATTCATTGTTTGCCAGAACTAAGTCAAACAGGTTATTTCCCCTTGTAGGTTCTGTCACAAACTGCTTCAAAAAACAATCCTGAACTACTTCTAAGAAGTCGTATGATTTTAAATTCCCAGTCAAGAAATTTCAATCAATATGACTAAAGTTAAAGTCTCTAGAATTACTGCATTATCGTGCCTGTGGCCCTAACAATTTCCTCCATAGTAGTCTCCTTGGTCCCTATGTAAGTTTGGGGGACGGTATATCACACCTAAAATCAATTTTTCATGCCCCTCTGAAAATTCTATCCAAACAGACTCTGTATTGTGTTACTTCAGACTTAATACCCGTTTTTATGCAACAGTTCAAGCGATCTCGGACATATAATGCCACCCCACCCCCTTCCGATACTTCTATCTACTTGGAACAATTTAAAAACCCTGAATGTGACATTCCGCAGGCATGTCCCGACTTTTTGAATTAAACCACGTCTCAGTTATGGCAAATACATCAATGTTACCTGCACTAGCAACTAATCTCAATTCGTCCATCTTATTCCTAGCACTACGGCAATTAGCATAATATACATTGAAAGACTCTCCTTTCTCTTTACCCTTCCTGCTCATTTTTGTTTTCCTACTAAACCTATTACTATCCTTATCACCTAGTGTCACTGGCTTTTCAATGTCTACCTCGTTCCACTTATTACTAGTTCTCCTAGAACTCATAATATTACTACACTGGGACTTCACTGTTTTCCTGCCAAAACCCATACCACACTAACTATTCCTAGTTTAAAGTCCTAACAGCTCTCTCCACTGCAGTTGCCAGTACCCCCACCCCAGACCTAGATAAGTGAACCCCATCCCTGGCATACATGTCATTTCTGCCATCTAGACAGTACCTCCTTCCGTATTCCAGATAGACTAACCCCTTAGAGCAGCTCTTGAATATTTTCCTTCATCTGTAGAAGGACCATCTCTCTTTAGTTCACATCTTTTTTCTTAGGGAATGTACTTTGAGTATAACTCAGTTGCCAGAGTTAATTATTTCTAGGCAAAGGTTCGGATCTGTGTTTAGGGTATCTTCCAAGCATGTTGGATGGTTTTATTATTGAATTTGGTGAAGGCACCCTCACAACTGATCTCATTTTGCTGGCTAAGACCTCTGTTCGTACAAGTCTGAACTTTGATTAGGTTGTGATCCGAATTCATTGTCTTTGATACTGTTATATTTCGTAACAGATCGTCATTGTTATTATTGAAAATAAGGTCAAGTATATTTTGCATTCTTGCTGGCTTAAGGGGAATTGTTGCAGAGATTTAATAACTCACATGTGTGAGAATTTTCATCTTAGTTTCCTCCTGGGGTTATGTCCGCCATAAAATTATTTGCCACATTCTTCCATTTTAAAAATCCTAAATTAAAATCACCAAGCTACAAAATATTTGGGGCTGAGGTTGAAAGATTTTTCCAGACTAGTAAATTTTCAATGGCTGTTCCTTAAATTGTTGGGAAGTTGCATCTTCACTGCCAAAACTCCAACTACATCATTTGTGGTGTTTAGTAACTCTGAACACAGAGGCCAGCCCCCTCCCTTGTTGCCTGTACTTTGTCGCATCTAAATAAGTTGTACCCTGATATCTATATTTCGCTGTCAAAGTGATTATCTGGATGGGTCTCTGTGAAAGCCACAAACATTGTATTTGACTCTGTGAGGAGTCCACTGATGAAAGGCATTTTGTTGTTGGTTGACGACTTTAGACTCCGCTTATTTGCAAATACAAATGATGATGTACTGCTTGTTTGTTGGGGGGCTTTATTTGTTGGCACTAATATCTGGAGTGGGGGCCGCTGACTGTGCCTCCATTCCTGCAAGGCTCCAAGATTAATTATTTGTGTTCATAGATCTGCGCAACATAGTCTAACCTTGTTTATTATAAGCTAACTAACCTTGTTTATTATAAGCTAACGTAATCCAGTCTAATCTAAGCTAATGTAATCCAACTTAAACTAACGTATGTAACCTTTCAAAATATAACCTAGCCTAACAATGTTTAAGCTAACCTAACCCAACCTCTCCTAGCCTAGCTTAACCTAACCTAACCAAGACCAGCCTAACCTATAATAAAGAAAACGTTATTCAGACTCTCCTATCTATGCCTATCTCTGCCACAGGTACGAGCTGCAGCCTGACGGGGGACTGCTGCTGCGGGAGTGTCAACGTACAGACACTGCCAACTACACCTGTCATGCCAGCAACCGCCACGGCTCTGACTACGTCATTTATTCTCTCATTGTCATGGGTGAGTTGGAACAAAGGAACGGAAAAATAGTGAGAGAGAACGAACAAAAAACTCGTATTCAGTTAAAATTTCATGAAGTGATAAACTAAGTAGGCCATTCATTGCCTTCATTTGATTATGGAAATATTGAATAAGATTTTAAACATGAAAATTGGTTATTTTCAGTTTCATCCATACATAACTCGTCATCTTGAAAAGCTTTCAACATAATTCTTTGATGAGACCGTGAAAGCATGCAGTAGTTTTTTTTTCTCAAGCTATAAGTTCGAGCCTATAAACTCCCACAAGATGAGAGTGTATGGATTGTCCCATTTCCCTTGTAAGCGTGAAACATACAATATACTATAGTTTGTTCTCAGATGCTATGGAGACGTGATGTTTTTTCTGCTAATATGTTATCCAACCAGTGGGTCATCCAGTGAAAAAGGAAACTTGTATATGGGTTATTTTTTTCAAACACCGGCCGTATCCCACCGAGTCAGGGTGACCTAGAATGAAAAACGAAAGTTTATCTTTTTAAATTTAGTAATTTATACAGGAAAGGGGGATTAGTAGCCTCTTGTTTCCGGCTTTTTAGTTGCCTCTTAAGACACGCATGGCTTACGGAGGAAGAAGTAAGGGGTATTATTTTTAATAATATAATGCCAAGGCCACGATAATCTCTAATTGGTCATAGTGTGCCAAACATTGTTGGGAAGGAGTGTGTACGGGAGGTAAGATAATGATAATAAAATAATGATCTTTATTTCTATAAAGTACAGTATACAAATAATATAGGATTAACATGATAGATATACTTTATAAAAAGTCCTGGTTATGCAGAGCATTTAGGGCAACTTTAAAGTAAACTTATAAATATAAAATTAATATTTAGTTAGGTGAACTAGAATGTTATTTGCAGTCTTTGGTATTATATATAAAAATTTGGTTTAGGATTTACGACATTTTGGGATTTTTGTTACGTTTTGGTGTAACATTCGTAGTGGTGGATAATGAAGCAGAACATAGTTCTGATTGGTACATATACGAAATATATTGATCATAGTGAGAACAACCCTATAAATGCTAATGTGGTTTGAGAACCGTCACATTGATAAATTAGACACATGTGCAGCTCTTGGGTATCTTTATTGAGGAAACGTTTCGCCATACAGTGGCTTCATCAGTCCATATATAGGAGAAACTTGAAGAACAGGAGGAGAATGAGGTAATCAGTCCCTCAACCTTGAGTCGATGTGGTCGGTCCATCAATCTTGAATAGAATACGGCATATGTGCGGAAAAGCAGCTTATAAACCGTAGGCAGGAGATTGTGCAGCAGTCGTAGGTGGTGTCACATTTGACCAATGTGGAAGTAGGTCGTGCCCAAGGGTTAGGCAAGCGAAGAATTCCCAAGTATTAATATCCCAAGAAGTTGGACTGACCACATCGACTCAAGGTTGAGAGGACTGATTGCCTCATTCTCCTCCTGTTCTTCAAGTTTCTCCTATGTATGAACTGATGAAACCATTGTGTGGCGAAACGTTTCCTCAATAAAGATACCCAAGAGTTGCACATGTGTCTAATTTATCAACGTGTCGGTTCTCTGAACTATTCATCTGCAATACTGTCAGACACTGCAACTTCTTGGGATCTTAATACTTGGGAATTCTTCGCTTGCCTAACCCTTGGGCACGACCTACTTCCACATTGAACAAATGTGACACCACCTACGACTGCTGCACCTCTCCTGCCTACGGTTTATAAGCTGCTTCTCCGCACATATGCCGTATTCTATTCAAGATTGATGGACTGACCACATCGACTCAAGGTTGAGGGATTGATTACCTCATTCTCCTCCTGTTCTTCAAGTTTCTCCTATGTATGGACTGATGAAGCCACTGTGTGGCGAAACGTTTCCTCAGTAAAGATACCCAAGAGTTGCACATGTGTCTAATTTATCAAGGAAGGCAGGTACATGGAGGTGTGTGTAGGGAAGGCAGGTATTTGGAGAAGTGTGTAGAGAAGGCAGGTACATGGAAGAGGTTGTAGGGAAGGCAGGTACATGGAGGAGTGTGTAGGGAAGGCAGGTATATGGAGTGTGTAGGGAAGGCAGATACATGGAGTAGTGTGTAGGTAAGGCAGGTACATGGAGTAGTGTCTAGGAAAGGCAGGTACATGGAGGAGTGTGTAGGAAAGGCAGGTACATGGAGGAGTGTGTAGGAAAGGCAGGTACATGGAGGAGTGTGTAGGAAAGGCAGGTACATGGAGGAGTGTGTAGGAAAGGCAGGTACATGGAGGAGTGTGTAGGAAAGGCAGGTACATGGAGGAGTGTGTAGGTAAGGCAGGTACATGGAGGAGTGTGTAGGAAAGGCAGGTACATGGAGGAGTGTGCTGAAGGTATGGCTGAACAAAATATTTGTTACATATAACGAAATAAATATTCAAAACTTAATTATCCCTAAGAAAGAAAAATAGTCACGAGAATACAAATAATGTACAATAACTTCCAGAGTATCAGTATTAAATTAACTGATAATGGCAGTAGATTGGACATAAGTGAAGCGATTAACCTTTGAATAGCAATAGAGTTGTAAATATACAGAACTTTGCCAAAAAGATTCATTGAAGCTAAATCCTTGGTCGTGAAAATACCAAGAGTCTACAGAATACAAGCCAAGAGCAAAACACAAGGAAAATGCTGAGACATAGTTAAACCTGAGCCGTTAACTTGACTCGCGTAATCGTAATGACATGATTGCCCAGTGGCTATGCGTTGGTCTGGAGTTTTGAGACTCTGATCGCGGGTTCTACTCCTGCCCTTGGTATGGTTTAAAACCTGAGCATTAGGAGTGAAACCCAGTGAGTGTGTTTTCCTCCATATATGTGTTGTGTCTGGCTGTAATCTGACAAACAACGAATGTGAGGTATTCGGAGGTCTTTTTTTTCCCTTGTACTAAATCCATGTGGGTCATTTAACGCTTGGATGGTGCAGGCTCGATCCTACATCCGCTAACAGCTTCCCTGTCGCTGTTACGTCAAGGTGTTGGTAATAAACAGGAACAAAACCTAGTCGTGTGTGTGGGAACGAACTAAGATCAACTTCTATATCTTCTTCATTCATTGTTGCCCCGTCCAGTATTTTGTAACTCCAGGTTTGTGCTACTCCAGTCTTGTGTTACTCCACTGATGTGGTATGCCACTTTTGTGTTTGTCCAGTTTTGAGTTACTCCAGTGTTGTATTAATACGGTTTTTTGTTATTCCAATGTTGTGTTACTCCAGTGTAGTATATCAGTTTGGAGGCTCGTTGTGTCTTCTTTTTCTGCCACTTTCATACAATTTCTAGTATCGACCTTTATAGACGACACTAGAATTTGTATGAGTATTTGTATGGAGAGTATAACAGAGGTACAGTAAAGGCGTGTGAGGAGTGCTAAAGGAAGTATAAAGTTTGTGTAATAAATCTGCTGCTGTCAGAAAGTCAGAGGGAGTGTGTCAAAAGTGGGCGTGGTCTAACTAAAACCCCTAAATCTGGTATCACTCTACGTCCCAGAACTCTAGAGGTTCTCTTTCTTATCTTCTTGCTGTTTTCGGTACATCCGACCTGCATAGGTCTCTCCTCTATCTGGTCTTGCTCACCTTTATATGGAGTATTTCGAAACAGTTCTTCCTACTGATTGGGTGCTCTCCTCTCTTTGGCTTCGTTATGTAGGTGATGTCTTTGTTCTTTAGCCCCATGACTAGTTTCTTCTAACCATTTATTGTTGCACTTAACAATCTTGCTCCTTCCATCAAGTTCAAAGCTGAATGGGAATCTAACCCTGATTTATGCCAGTCGCTCAGGGACAGGCTTTTATTTCTGTTTATCGCAAGTCAATGCTCCTCTTGTCCTTTCCAATACTCAGGAGAAACTAGTCACTGTCTTTCTAACAGACTTAGAGCATAAAAATTGTGTTCACCTCACAATAACAGTACTTTTTTCCTGTCATATAAGAGATCACAGTCACACTATTAACTGCTCACTGCCAGAACTATCTAGCCTTCCTCTAGCCTTCACAGCCGCCGTCTTGTTGAAGCATCTCTGTTATGTTTGTTAATATATTATTTTATATGTCATCCTTCCTTTATTTACGCAAGCAGTACCTGAGGAGAATGTTAGGGAACTGTTCCCAATATATGGTATTCAAGTACACTTGCTGAGTATTAATGAAGATATATGTACTGGTTAGTCAGGAGATATTCTCCTGCTACCTCGTACAAGACATACTCATACTGCAGTGAAGATGGAAAATGGGAATAATACTTTTGCGAGCTATACTGAACAATATACAGTGGAACCTCTGGTCACGAATGCTTCCGAACACGAACAAATCTGTTCACGACCAAAAAATTCGCCAAATTTTTGCATCTGATCATGAACACATAATCGAGTGCCAAACACAGCCGTACAAATTTACACTCCGTGCCAGTGTTCCCCATTTCCTGTAATTCGATCGTGATAAATTCAGATTAGCTATGTTTTATCAGCAGGTAGTGCCCAAACAGCTTCTCGCAGTTCCAGTACCTGGCTAGGGCTTGCCATATATGATTTTTAGCAAATATTTTTTTTTCTCAGTTGTTTGTTGGGCTATCTTATTCAAACTTGGAAAATATATGATGGAAACATTCTTCTTAACGTACACCAAAATTGAAAGAAATCGGAGGATAAATAACGGAGTTCACCGCTCAGTTCATTAGACTCCCCTAAAAAACTTAGAACTCATGCAATGTTAGTTTTCTCTGTTGTTCAAAGTTTTCTTAGTTTACTATTACACTGTGCATTCTATGGTATAATTAACTATTTTTGTGCTTAAAAAAATCATAAAAAACTATATATACATACAGTTCGTAGGGGTCTGGAACGGATTAATAATATTTACATACAATCCACTGGAGAAATTAGGTTCGGGTCACGACCAAATCGGGTCGCAACCAGAATTGTGGAACGAATTATGGTCATGACCAGAGGTTCCACTGTAAGTAAAGTGGTGCATAATACCTCACTCAACTCTTATATGGTGTACATTGTGTGTTGAGAGTGCAGGCTTCCATTCGCCGATATATTGTACGTTTAAAGTCACCTTAATAAAGTTCGGTGAGATCACAAAGCCTTTGTATGATTAACAGTTATATTCTCATACAACTATGGTTCTATCATGGTGGTATAACTGTGGTTCCACACATGGTGGTATAATTGTACTTCACACATGATGGTGAAAATGTGGTACATAGATGGTGCTGTGACTGTGGTTCATATATGTTGGTGTAAGTGTGGTTCACACATGGTGGTGTGACTGTTTACACCTGGTAGTATAACCGTAGTTCACATATGGTGGTATAACTGTGTTTCACACATGGTGGTATAACTGCGGTTCACACATGGTGGTATAACTGCGGTTCACACATGGTGGTATAGCTGTGGTTCACACATGGTGGTATAACTGCGGTTCACACATGGTGGTATAACTGCAGTTCACATATGGTGATGTGGCTGTGGTTCATACATGTTGCTGTAAGTGTGGTTCATACATGGTGGTGTGACTGTGGTTTACACCTGGTAGTATAACCGTAGTTCACACATGGTGGTATAACTGTGGTGTAACTGTTATGTATAACTGCAGTTCGCATATGGTGATGTGGCTGTGGTTCGCACACAGTGATGTGACTGGTTCTAACAAGTTACTCCACTAATACCTCCATCCCTCCACTACGTTACCACCCACTAACATCACTATCCTCCACGACATTACCACCCACTAACATCACTATCCTCCACGACATTACCACCCACTAACACCCGTATGCTCGCTACAGTACCACCCACTAACATCACTATCCTCCACTACAGTGCCACCCAGTGCAGCACTGCTTCACTCAGTGGGTGCTACAGCCACTACAGTGACTGTATCCTGGACTCTTATAGACGACGGTAACGCTCCCGTCAGGAGGCTGACACTCACCTGGCGTCCTGATCCAGGGGAGTGGAGGGAGGTCACCCTGGCCCGCCACCTCAAGCAGTTCACCTTGCAGGAGCTCACCTGTGGCACCCAGTACCACGTGTACCTGACCTCGCATAACAAGATAGGTAAGTCATCCTAACTAACCCATCCAGGGAAACCCTCACCAGGGAAAATACCAGGGAACCCATCCCCGGTAACCCATACCTGAGGAACCCATCCATGATGACCCATACCAGGGAACCCATCTCCAGAAATCCCTTCCCAGAAACCCATCCCCGGAAACCCACACCAGGGAACCCATCCCCGGTAACCCATACCAAGGGACCAATACTAGGGAACCCACCCCCGTAAACCCATTCCAGGAATCCATCACCGGTAACCCATACCAGGGGACCAATACTAGAGATTCCACCCCCGTAAACCCATTCTAGGGAACCCACCCCCGGTAACCAGTACCAAGGAACCCATTCCCGTTAACCTATTCCAGGGACCTCTTTCCCGGTAATCAATACCAGGAACCCATCCTCGTAAACACATACCAGGGATCCCATCCCGGTAACTTGGGATGGGATGATACCAAAATTTTTGCCGATACTGATACCGATACTTGATTTTCGACCGATACCGATACTTTTACTGTTCTTTATTTTTAAAATTATGATGATTATGTTCATTATCTTCTGCCGCCGCCGCCTATACGTCTACTGCTACTATTACTACTGCTGCTGCTACTAGTACTACTATTACTAGTACTGCCACACTATTACTACTAGTGTTGCTACTAATAGTGTTATTACTAATACTAGTACTACTAGTGTTACTATTACTAGTAATACTACTATTACTGCTACCACCACCACTACTGCTACTATTAGTTGCAAACAGGTCAGGCTGGTACCTGTTTGCAGGTACCAAGGTACCAGCTTGACCTGTTTGCAGGTACCAAGGTATCAGCTTGACCTGTTTGCAGGTACCAAGGTACCAGCTTGACCTGTTTGCAGGTACCAAGGTACCAGCTTGACCTGTTTGCAGGTACCAAGGTACCAGTTTGACCTGTTTGCAGATACCAAGGTACCAGCCTGACCTGTTTGCAGGTACCAAGGTACCAGCTTGACCTGTTTGCAGGTACCAAGGTACCTGGAGTCTATAGTTCTCGTGTAAACTGTAAACAAAGTTTGTTTATTTATTTCAGAATTTGTTTATGATCAGTACTTCAGTGTGTGTAAACAAATATAGTACACAAGTATAGCCCAAGACATACACCTGTATACACTTCAACACACCTGTATACACTTCAACACACCTGTATACACTTCAACACACCTGTATACACTTCAACACACCTGTATACACTTCAACACACCTGTATACACTTCAACACACCTGTATACACTCAACACACCTGTATACACTTCAACACACCTGTATACACTTCAATAAAATCTCAAACTAATACTGGAGCTGTTGATAGTTATATGACATTGATGCTGGTAGTAGTGGTATGATGACATTGATGCTGATAGTAGTGGTATGATATTGATGCTGGTAGTAGTATGATGACATTGATGCTAGTAGTAGTGGTATGATGGCATTGATGCTGGTAGTAGTGGTATGTTAACATTGATGCTGGTAGTAGTGGTATGATACTGATGCTGGTAGTAGTATGATGACATTGATGCTGGTAGTAGTGGTATGATGACATTGATGCTGGTAGTAGTGGTATGATGGCATTGATGCTGGTAGTAGTGGTATGTTAACATTGATGCTGGTAGTAGTGGTATGATACTGATGATGGTAGTAGTATGATGACATTGATGCTAGTAGTAGTGGTATGATGACACTGATGCTGGTAATAATGTTATAGTAACATTGATGCTGGTAGTATTGGTATGATGGCATTGATGCTTGTAGTAGTGGTATGATAGCATTTATGCTGGTAGTAGTGGTATGATGACAATGCTGGTAGTAGAGGTATTACAGCATTGTTGCTGGTAATAGTGGTATGATGATATTGATGCTGGTGGTAGTGGTATGATGACATTGATGGTTGTAGTAGTGGTATGGTGACATTGATGCTGATAGTAGTGGTATGGTGACATTGATGCTGATAGTAGTGATATGATGGCATTGATGCTGGTAGTTGTGGTATTATGACATTGATGGTTGTAGTAGTGGTATGATGACGTTGATGCTGGTAGTATTTATTTGATGACATTGATACTGGTAGTATTTGTATGATGACATTGATGCTGGTATTGTTTGTATGATGACATTGATGCTGGTGGTGGAGGTATGATACATTGTTGCTGGTAATAGTGGTATGATGACATTGATCCTGGTAGTAGTGGTATGATGACTTTGATGGTTGTAGTAGTGGTATGATGACATTGATGCTGGTAGGAGTGGTATGATGACATTGATGCTGGTAGTAGATGTATGATGACATTGATGCTGGTAGTAGTGGTATGATGATGATATTAATATTGGCCTAAACTCTGCAGTGCTTTAAAGGGGTAAATGAAAGAGGAATAATACGTGTCTGACCCACTGTAACTGGAGTCCTGTGTCGCTGGAGCTACACGAGGCCGATATCGATGTCTTGATCGAAGAATGCTGAAAGTAGTCACTCGGGGTCGCTGCACCTTCGTGTTCTTTCACTCGCAACACACCGGGCACTTCACCGTCACTCAGTACCATCACTTTTTCATGAGTTTCGTGGAATTATTCACGGTAATGAAAGAGTTAAATAACACTGTATTTTACTTCAGTTCTCCCAATGTTTTCACTCCTGATTAGTTCTACCGCGAATTTCCTGACTCATCTTTTGCACTAGAGTATTCCTAGTGTCTTTAGAGGTTGCTAGTATGATCAAGAGTCTATGTGGGCCTACGCACCTGTGGGGTTCTTCGTGATGCATTCACGCTCACTGCTTGAAAACGTATTGCAAAATTGGTTAGAGAACCTTAGGAGGTAATCAGACTTGATTCAAGGAATGGAAGTGTTGTTAGGGTCTTGGCATCAAGAGCCCTTCACAGATAGTAATGTCTTCGTGGTGGTTTCAGGAGCAGGTGCAGCCAGCGAGGTGATTACAGTACGTACTAAGGGCAGTAGACCTACCCCGCCACCACAACAACGTCTGCTGACAGTCAACATGTCTGCCGTTAATGTACACCTGGCTGCCTGGAGGGACCCACAGTGTCCCATCACTGCCTTCACTATCACACTTACACTTAGCAGCCAGAGGGACTGGCAGAGCGGTACGTAATGGTTGGCAGGATTTATTACAGTGATGGTCAAGCACTGAACACTTAGTACTAGGATAAGTATCTTCCTCATCCCTTCATTAACATTTAATAAACATAATGTCTTCATTATATGGAATATTCATACAAGGTTTCTGGGGAGAGTATAATATTCAGTTAAATGGGGAGCTTAATCATGAAAATACTGGGAATGTAGGTGCGCTTAGTACTAAGCATTTTCAGTTACCTTCTCGTCCTTCAGTGAGCCTCTCTGAGTAGGTGTTTGTGATCCTCTAGAAATAAGAAGTCAGACTCTCCTTTCATCTTCCATACAAGTTCCAACAGACCCCTCTCAAGAAAGGGTCGAATTTCAAAATTTCCTTTGTCTCCTCTGGAGCAGAGAGCCGAGACCAGTTTGGCTATAACCTCTTAACTACTCTCCTTCCCCTCTGTCTCAAGAAAAAGGCCACCAGACATTGAACTTAAAACTCTTATCCATTCCCAAAGTTTGTTATAAACTCGTTAATTCATAATTCGTCATTAACAAGAGCTGTCTTCTCCCCTAAGGTACAGTCTTGGAAACCAGGAGTTATGAATGGCTTTAAACATTTAAGCCTGGTTACACTTACCTTACTAGGAACCTTGAGGTCAACTGAACTTTCATGTTTATAATTTTAGATAAGAGAGAAACATGTTGGCTCAGCTGCTATCATCACTCACTGACCCTCGTGATATCACATTATCCGGTAAATGGACTGGATATGTAATTAATTAGGTATCCCTTAAGTAGTACCTTTAGTCGATGCCTGACTTTTTTTCCATCCAACGATTTTGTTTATAACTTGAGATCAACTTTAAATTTTCAACACTGATTAATTGTAATTAGGAAAGTATTCATGCAACTATTAGCAGATTAATAGCCAAACAGTTTTGCCTACTCAGTAAGTTTCGTTGGTAAATACATTGGCGACTGCAATCCTAAAGACAGTAGAAATGGATGGGTGTTTCGACATGATCAGTCCCTCAGTCTAAACCATCTTCCATCAAAGCTAAGGGACTGATCAACTCAGACTGCCTCCCTACTTCTACAGTACTAAAAGTGCCTCTGCATTTAATTGATAAAGTCTGTTGAGCAGGCGAAACTTTTCGTCAATACAGATGCTTAAGTGCTACACTCATTGACTACTGGAATATGCAGGTGCATTCCCAGTTTTGCTTACAGTGCTGTAACTTGAGAGGCCTCTGATCTGCTTTACACTTTCTACAATAGTCTATTCTACTCAAAAGATTTTCACTGGAATTATTACTGACCAATTTACTGATTTATTTTAAAAATAACTGTGTGGAGAATAACTGTGTAGAGAAGAATTGTGTAGAGAATAACTCTATAGGGAGTAGATGTGTGAAAAATAACTGTGCAGAAATCAGATTAATGTCTAATTATTGTAAGTATATTATTGATGAAGCACTAAACCCGCAGTGTTCACCAAGAAGTATTCACAATGGAAGGTAATAATAATAATAATAATAATAATAATAATAATAATAATAATAAATAATAATATGCACGTGTGTTAAACTCACAGGTGTGCAACACCGTCTGAGGAATGGGAGACAAGGTTAATTAAATCCAAGGAAGGAAGAAGCTTTCTCTAAATTCTTGGATAAATATCCCTTCACAAGAATGTAGGCAACCCTCTTTCAACCCAACACTTGCTGCTACAGTTTGCACTTGTATCACACATGGTGCCAAATTGTATCACACATGGTGCCAAATTGTACCACACATGGTGCCAAATTGTACCACACATGGTGTTAGTCTACAAATTTTATACACGTGAGGCCAGAATGTGCAGGTCACACGTGGTTTAGGAATTGATAATTTGCTCTTTCTTCTAATAGTGAGCGGACGCCTGGCAGGAACGCAGACAGAGTACACACTGGGGAAGCTCCTCCCTGCCACTTCCTATGAGATAAGTATCACTGCCACTAACCCTGCAGGGGAGACAACTGCCACGTACTCCTTCGTCACTCTCACCCTCACCGGAAGTAAGTGGAATCAGTCACATATTAAGTTACTTAAAGGTAGTGGTGGTGGTCTGTTCGTAAGGAAACCAGATGCGGGTTTTGTGGAGATGATAAAACGTTGGGAAGTAATGCATCTATTGGTTAATAGGAGATATGTTGTACACGCTGTTTAAAAAGTAGTTGCATAGTTGACAGAAACAATATATACTTAGTGGCCATTTTATTAGGTGTACACACACATCTGCTCCTTAATGCAAATATCTACTCATCATGTGGCAGCACCTCAGTGCCTAAAAGCATGTATACATAGTTAGGTGGTTCAATTGTTGCTCAGAATTAACATTAGAATGAGAAGCAAACATGATCTAAGTGACTTTGACCATGGAATAATTGTTGGTGTCAGATGGGGTGAGTTGAGTATCTCAGAAACTTCTGATCTCCTGAGATTATCACACATAAGAACATAAGAAAGAAGGAACACTGCAGGAGGCCTACTGGCCAGTGCGAGGCAGGTCCAAGTCCTCTACTGACTTATGCCACTGACCCAACCTAGTCAAGCCAGGTCACATCCACTTAAGGAAGGAGCACGCCATCAGACCAACTAGTACAAGCTAGTCAGGTTCAACTCACACCCACCCACACCCACTCGTGTATTTATCTAACGTATTTTTAAAACTACGCAATGTTTTAGCTTCTATGACTGTACTCGGGAGTTTGTTCCACTCATCTACAACTCTATTACCAAACCAGTCCTTTCCTATATCCTTCCTGAATCTGAATTTTTCCAACTCGAAACCATTGCCGCGAGTCCTGCCTTGGCTAGATATTTTTAGCACGCTATTTACACCCACTTTCTTTATTCTAGTTTTCCATTTAAACACTTCAATTATATCCCCCTAATTCTACGAGGACATACGATGGTGTGGGTGCCTCTGAGCTAATTTCATTCTACTCCCCATTTGGTGATATACTGTTCTGCTTGTAGAGGCTAGTAGGTACCAAACGGGGAGTAGAATGAAATTAGCTCACAGGCACCCACACCACCGTATGTCCTCGGATCACGGTAAAACACCTAGTTCTGCTGGGTGCGTGATTCTTATAGGATTGAGTGGTCCTGTGGGTTAGAGCATATGTGATTTTCGCCCAGAGTACTTAGAGGATGAAATCAGCAAGATATTCAACATAGACACAAAACTGAGATATACTAGTGATTTTGTCGAGAAGGCACTAATGTCAGCAAGAAAGACTTTCTACAGGACTGAAACTAAGGAAGTGATTGCCAGGGAAAATGTACTAGTTTTACCATACAATGAGAGCGTGGTTTGCCTGCATGAGGCATTAAAAAGGCTTAATATAAATGTTACTTTCAAAAACACTGGGACTCTGAAACAAAGATTGATTAAAAACACACCTTCCAATAAAGTTGGTGGAGTTTACAAGATCCAATGCACTCATTGTCTTCTCTCATATATTGGTCAAACAGGTAACCTTCTGGAAACCAGAATAGCCCAACATAAATTTCTGCTATCGCAAGATGAACGTGTTAGTGTTCCGTTTGCATCTATCTTGACTATGAGAAAAAAATTTACCAATTCATTTCTCTCCGTGGCAGAGCACTTGCAGGAGGGGCTGGGTTCTGTGGCAGGGGGTGGGATGCTGGGATCGTCTTCAGGTGCTGGGTCGTCGGCACACGAGGTATTCACCGACCCTGCCTTCGTCGTGCCCGTCGTCATCTCCTGCATCGCTCTCATCTCCATCATCATCGCTATCACCCTCTGTCTCAAGAGAAGTAAGTAAAATCTTTTAAACCTCTAATCACTTACCTTATGATAAAACAGTAAAATACCGAAACTATTCAAGCAAAACAAACATGATTCACCCTCTCATTAGTAAGAAGGCTGACACTTCACATTGTGTGTTTGCTTGTGAGAAGGCCAGTGCATGCCTGCAATGTATCAGTAACACTGTGTTTACTTCTCGTGTCTCAACAATACTGTGTTTATCTGAAAAGATTTTGAGATGCGTGGGACCTGCTGTGTTGTGGGTTATTCATGTCGAATAAGATCGTCGAGTAAAATGCCAACACTGATCAGAGACAAAACTGTGCTGCATCACACACCTCTGTATAGATAACATTTTGTCTCAAATCAAAGTCAAAGTCAAGGTCAAATTTTATTTTTGGGGTTACTTCTTACCGCAGTTACTGTGAAAAGTTACTAGTGATGCGAAGGATTTCGGGTTGGCTAAAACTATCACTTATAAATTACTTAATAGTAATACAAAAGATTTAAACACGTAATTTAATTTTTTCGCTGCTATTTTGCATAAAAAATATCTGTACAAAATAAAGTAAATTATATTAGCAAATTAATGAGTTAGCAATATAATACATAAGTGAGAGAGTAAATGATTGTTATATATATATTAATATTTTAAATCACGATCAGATATTTTTTAGCATAATTATTAAAATCTCTGTCTTACCATTGGCTGACAGTAACAGCTTTTGCATCAGCATGAATAATATGCTACATTTTCATTTTATTTTTTTCTTGCCAAGCCATTTGTTCCATTAAACATCGACATAAACTTGAAATAGATCTCTTTTAAATCCAGCGACATTTCTTTGAATATATTAACTACAGTGGAGCCAAATATTATCATTAGATTCTTTTAGTATCGGCATATTCAATTTTGATTATCATTTTATCCTAAAATGTCAAGACAAAGAATTTCAAGTTACGATACCAAATCTTGCTTTTATATAATAGATTAGGTAATTCATTATTACATTAAGTACCTAAACTCTAGTTTATGACTATGATGATTTATTTTCTCCTGTGTGATTGTCTCGCTACAATTTTACACTGAGAAACAATATAATAATCCAAAAAAATAAGAAATACTTCTTTACTGGCTTCTCTTTGTTTGTAATGATGATATTTAGGTATTAAATTACTGGAGGTATTGAGATTCATGTATTCACACTGAAATAATTTACTAAGTTAAAATGTATAATTAATATATATAGTATAGTAAGGTGGCCCGTGGCCTGGTAGGCAAAGGTCTCACTTCACACGATGGATACAGACCCATAATGAATCTCACCATTTAATAATAATTATAATCTTTATTTATACAAGTACATGTACAAGGTGTGCAGGCTTAGCTGATATCACTGACACACTACTGTATAGGAAACCGTTTGTTATGCAGAGCATTTTGGGCAAATTAAGTCAATTTTGTCCCAGGATGTGACCCACACCAGTCGCCTAACACTCAGCCAGGTACCCGTTTTACTGATGGGTGAACAGGGACAGCAGGTGTCTTATGTAAACACGTCCTAATGTTTTCCAGCCGTACCTGAGATTAGAGCTCAGGAACTCAGTGTGTGAGCTGAGTGTGCTAGCAATCGAGCTACGTGACACGTTTTGTTCTGGGTGAATTGTAGTCTTTCATTATATTTTTTTTTTAAATTAATACTATGAAGTACAAGAATTGTGGAAATATGTGGAGACTCCAAAATCCCCACCGACGGCTAGTAAACATTAAATGTTTAGTATTTTACATTGCATACCTAGGAGTGTGCGGTGCCTTTAATCTTCTTAATCCCCAAGACGGACCTGAATGAGACCTTAAATTCAGCTTAGCATTTTGAGGGATTTAGGCCTTAGGAATACTTTAGGGAGGCTTAATTCATTATTAAGTACTATTAGGATTATCACAGTAGGCTGATAGGTAAAAGAGAGCAGCTGGCAACTCAACAGGATGCTGAGATGAGTGAAGCACATGATCCGCTCTCCTCCTTCTGGTCAAGGCGAACTTAGAGGGACGAGTGGCACTTGTGAGAACAATGGCCAACAAAATATGCATCTAGCAGTTGGAGAAGTGACTGCAGATACCACCCAAAAGGCCTCTTTGCCAGACCCCTGTGAGTTCATTCTAGTATTTGCCCCAGTAACCTAGGTAGCCACTGAACACTAATGTGGGTAAATGCAGGATTAGGGAACATTGGGTTATAAGCAAGGCAATGCCCCATCCTAGGGAAGAGATTAATAAAGTTTGCTAAGTAAATTACGCCCTGTGAGCATTGTACCAGAAGTTAGTAACTCTTGAGACATATGCTGATGCTGGTTAGGGAAGCCCGAAAAATCTAGGGGAGCCTAGGCCTTATGCCAGAGTTACTAACATCATAATTGTTTGTAGGTACCATCTCTTGCACATGACCATTGAATAAAAAGCTTCATGGGGTCAAGCTAACTTGGGATAGTCACTGGGGAATCTAGCTACAGACAGACTCCACAACAACTAAGTTTGTTCCAATTTGTGCATGGAGAGGTGGGACCCAGCTAGTGCTTCGTCTCTTTAAAACTTAGCAAAGAAGTAAAACAAGGGAAACTTGCGAGGGTAGGATTGTTAATTTTACATTAGCCCTGTCAGCAGCGATACCTTAGTTGTGCACCTCATAAGTTTCCACACAATAGCTTGTCTGGTCATTCAGACGTGGATGTGGAGCAAGCACGTGTAAGAGGCTAATAAAGTCTAGCATGGCTAAGCTCCGCTATGACATGTCAGTGAATTAAGAAAGTTAGGCTAATTTAGGTAAATTTACTTGCATACATAAATTTAAGAATTCAAAGCTAGTTAGGCAAGATAGACTAATATATTTGCATAGATGATTATATTTCTTGAGAGGAAGGAAATCAAAAGGCTGGGCAGGAGATGCAACATCCTTTCAATAAAAAGAAGGGGCGCCACGAGTACTCTAGGAGACAACACAGTAAGTGTTAGGTGCTCAAGACTAAAGTTGCTTCCAGCATTCATGAGGAGGATTACCCCCCCCCCAAGATGGAGCTCCAGCAATGGTTGGCTGGCATAAAGTGTTAATTGCATTTGTCAAGAAAGAATTGACTCGTTTCAGTCTTGATCCAGGTGATTTAATTATATGCCACTGCATCATACATCAAAAAAATCTCTGTGCACAGCCGTTGCTGCTTAATAAATTTTGTCAAAAGCAGAGGGTTTAACAACCGCCAGTTTAAGAAGTTACTGAATGATCTTGACTCTGAGTACAGTGATCTTGTTTATCAGTGTGAGGTGCGGTGGCTGAGTCGCGGGAAGGTGCTCATGAGGTTTTTCGAACTGCAGGATGAAGTCAAGCAGTTCATTGAGATAATATAATAATATAATATCTTTATTTACTACAGGTACATGTACAAGGTATACAGACCTAGCTGACATCAATGACATACTACTATATAGAAAGCCGCTTGTTATGCTGAGCATTTCGGGCAAATTAGGCCAGTTTTTGTCCCAGGATGCAACCCACACCAGTCGACTAACTCCCAGGTACCAATTTTACTAATAGGTGAACATAGACAACCGGTGTAAAGAAACTCGCCCAAGTTTCTACCCTTGTTGGGAATCGAACCCACATCGTCGCTGTGTAAAGCGAGACCTTTAGCCACCAGGCCACGGGGCACTGTAATGAGAAAACCTGTCAGGGAACTCAGTGATAACAAGTGGCTGTGTGATCTAGCATTCATGGTGGACGTTACCAAGTACCTCTCAGAGCTGAACGTCAAGCTGCAGAGCCCCAACCAGCTTCTCAGCTCCCTACTTTCAAACATGAAATTATCTGAAGCTAAATTAAGGCTGTGAAAAGTGTAACTCGAAAGGCATAACATGGTGCATTTCCCCACTCTGGAAGGACAAAAGCCTTCTACGACAGTTGAATATGTGGTGAATGTGCGAAACTAATTGAGGCATTTAATGAAAGAAACAAGGACGTGAAAAGTAAAATAAGATAAGATGAGATAAGATTTCGTTCGGATTTTTAACCCTGGAGGGTTAGCCACCCAGGATAACCCAAGAAAGTCAGTGCGTCATCGAGGACTGTCTAACTTATTTCCATTGGGGTCCTTAATCTTGTCCCCCAGGATGCGACCCACACCAGTCGACTAACATCCAGGTACCTATTTGCTGCTAGGTGAACAGGACAACAGGTGTAAGGAAACGTGTCGAAATGTTTCCACCCGCCGGGAATCGAACCCGGACCCTCCGTGTGTGAAGCGGGAGCTTTAGCCACCAGGAATTGAACATCTTTGCTACACTAGGGACGCCAAGCCCATGATGATTCTCTTCAAATCGTTCGTTCTCTCTAGGCTGGAATACTGCCGTACACTAACTTGCTGACCTGGAGAGTGTACAATGAACTTTCACGGTACACATAAGTACGATAAGGCACCTAAATTACTGGGGACGGTTGAAGGCCCTTGATCTGTATTCCCTGGAGTGCAGGCGAGAGAGATACATGATAATATACACTTGGAAAATCCTAGAGGGATTAGTACCAAACATACACACGAAAATCACTCCCTATGACAGTAAAAGACTCGGCAGGAGATGCAACATTTCCCCAATGAAAAGCAGGAGCGCTTTCTTAACTTATTAATCTCCAAACCTTCATATTCTCAGCAAAATTTGTTGATAGCATCTCACCCTCTCATTTGTTCTCCTTTTACATTCCTTTTCTACTCTTATCCTCTATTTTTCCTTCAATATAATCCTCCCTCCTTATATCACTTTTTCTTTGGCAAAACGACTTACATGCTAACATTTTACGTCAGTTTAAATTCATTTAATATTGCTTCAAATCAGTGATATATATATAATATATATATATATATATATATATATATATATATATATATATATATATATAATATATATATATATATATTCGTTCAGGTTGATATCCTCTGATTTATGGCAAACACAGATTTTCATTAGCCAAACTCAGCGATTCGGCTTAATTACCACTACATATACATATAGTCATTCACTAGTATAAGTACATAACACTTCTCATATTTTGTCGCCTGGGATTCTTTGCTAACAAAGTTTCTCTGCACCTGTTTTTTAGTAAGTTCAAACCTTATTAAAAATATTGTATCCAGTCAAGGCTATTTCTCTCTCAGCGGCTGTTTGAGTTCAACCAAGATTCATTTAAGAGCAATAATAGTATTTGCATGCACTGAGGAGGCACAAGTTGATAATTTGCCCCTTTCTTGAAATAATGTATATTACCTGTAAAAGACTTCTTAATACACCCAGCAGATTTCCCCCAGGTTGAATTCCTGGTGCCTCCGAGTTACCTGACTAGCTGTGACAAGCCCACCTCTACCTCATTCCCCACCCTTCCCTGCCTGGTCTTCCTTTCCATCGTCACACTATCTGCCCCATGTAGCCCCTCATGTAAGATACGTCCCAGTTCAATCATCTGCTTTCCGTGCTGCTCAAATGAAGTTCTTGCTTAAATTCGCTTCATTTACTATTTAAATTTTCCCATATTGAACATAGCGTTCGTATCATCTTGGAAGTAATTATGGTGAATATATTCTTAATAGTATTCGTTTATAATCGCTGAGTTTATGATATTAGATTATAAAGTGATGTGTTCATGCTGTGTCCTGATGAGCCTTGCATACACTAACGATGTGGTTCGCCGGTGTTGTCCCGGCCCGGGTTTTTTCCAGTTGGTGACCTGGCGGGTCATACAGCAGGTCCGCACTCGAATGTATCCTTATACTGCCCTGGTCTACACGTAGCACCCCTATATAATATGGACTTTTAATTAAGTCTTATGATGAATACAGTTCCTCTGATGACTACCATCATCAAGGTTATTAAGGTGAACTTAAAGACTGTATTACGAAGGACCATATATAACGTTAATTTCACTGGTATTTTACAGGATCCTTGGGAAATTGTGAGAACCTTATTACCCTTCATATGACATCACAAAGAGAATATCAGCTCAAAAATATTTAGAAATATATGCTGAACATAATTTCAATGACAATGAATATAAAAGAGTGTAATAGGATCATATCTACAAATATGTTTAGGCAAACCTCGTTAAACAGCGATATTTTACCCAGATTATTCCTTTATAAGTTCCTTCATTATTCTTGTCCCTATGAAAAGTCTTACCCACGTGTAGCTACCCGTGAACAAAGAGGTGATCCTGGTGTTATATAGAGGGAATTCTAACCTTTTGATGTTTAATAAGGGTTGTGTAACCCTGTTAAAGAGTCCCAGCCAACTCCAAATTTAAACAGTTATTCCTGATGGGGGTTTATGTATACGACTGAGGAAACAGGTTGGCGCAGGGAGGCGAACGCCTCAGTTTACAGCCTTCGTTACAAATTCTAACATTTTCCTCGTATGTTCATCCAGGATCGGTTTACTTTAGGAAAACTAAATATCAGTAATAATGAACGTGTCTGAAACAGAAACTAAATTAAAAAAATTATTGGTATGTTGAGACAGTATTTACGTAGCTCTGATTTTATTAAAAACAGTATGGAAGCACTTCCAGATAAACTTAATAATAATAGTAACATTTATTTCTACAAGTACATGTACAAGGTATACAGTCCTAGCTGACATCAATGACATACTACTATATAGAAAGCCGCTTGTTATGCAGAGCATTTCAGGTAAATAAGGTCAGTTTTGTCCCAGGATGACACCCACACCAGTTGACTAACATCCAGGTGTCCATTTTACTGATGAGTAAACATGGCCAGCAGGCGTCTTAAGGAAACACGTCCCAATGTTTCCACTCGTTCCGTGGATCGACCCCCGGACCTCATTGTGTGAGCTAAGTGCGCTAGCAATCGAGTTACGCCCAAGACTGGGCGTAAATATAAATGGACATTTAATAATTATAAGTAAATTAATTATTCCGTATAAATAAAAAAAAATTTTGTGTGAAATAGTATTTAATAGTAATTAACAACAGATCGTAAAAAATAGAAAATGATCAATAATTAGACAATAATCCTGTAATTACCAGAATCCTCTTCTCTCTGAATTTAATTTGTTCTAATATGAATTATGTAAGTTAAGTTGTGCAGGTTTATCCAGTATAACATTGATCCTCACAAATACGAGATATTCAGATATCGTCTACCTTTGATATACCTTTGATGAGTTTCGAGAGCCTTTCCACTTTCGGAGCTCGGCCATGGGTCAGGCTCGTCCGGTGCTAGCCTGATCAACCAGGCTGTTGCTGCTGGAGGCCCGCTCACCCATATATCCATCACAGCCTGGTTGATTCTGGTAATTAAGTCATCACCACTTAGGGATGTCCCTGAATTATGAGAGTGGCAGATCTGAGCGTCTCCCTGGGATCTGTGTGGGATATTTCAGACTGCTTTTGCCAGTGCGTCAAACCAGTGTGGCTGAGTAATATTTTCGATTTCTAGACTCGTTGAACTAATTTCTATTTTTACTAATATTAAACTGCTGGAAGTCTCTCTTACACATTGAAGCTCAGTAGGCCTGAGCTCCGTTCGATAACTTCTCTGCGAACCCTGACTAAAGTCAGCTTCCTTCTTATCCAACCTGTCGCACATGGCGTTAATTCTCTGTTAATTTAACTTAGCTTGTTCGAGAGCTAAATTGTTAAAAGAGCAAAATGGACACTTGCCTCGAAAATTGGTATCCACATTGGTGAAGATATCCGCGATGAAGTTGAGTACAACAAGAACAGAAGCCATTTTAGCTAGTTAGCTCACGTTAATCCGTTAAACTGAAAACTAAAGCAAGGACAGCTGTATAACAGTAGGATTGGTGCTAAACTTGTAAAGGATTTATAGTGGAATGTATAATTGGAGGTAATCGTCTATGCTTATATACATAAAAGTGAGAGTTTCTCTAATTATATGGATGAACAACTGTTCGCCAGCATCTAGGCACTTTTCAACCCCCGTCCTTAAGATGATAAGAATATCAGAATGTCTAAATCTATGTATGTTACAGGATCAGGAGGGAATCTGGAGGGTCCTCCTGACGGTGATGATGGAGGACCTTCAGTGACTTCAGCAACGGAGAACAAGACCAACCCGGCAGTAAGGGAGCAGTATTATACCAGCGTCAGGAAACCACCGCCCTCACCAGTACACGACGTCAACGCACTCGACAGAATACCAGGTGGGTGTTGTCTAAGGGTGCAATATTGCTCTATTCCTGGGGAAGAGCTAGACTCGTCTGACTTATAATGTGATACCCTTTATTATTGTCAAGAGTAAGGCAAAGTGTAGGACGAGACTCGGAGCGTAGATGACAGTTTGTACTATATCTTATAAGTTGAAGCCAGGTCGATATCGTTAGCTGGAGGCCAGCTAACGGAGCTAAGGAGCCCAGGGTGGAAGGGGGCCAGTTACCATGGATGGCCAGTAATTATCAGGGAGGACGAGCACTGTTACCAAGACAGGCAGTAGTTCAAAATTCTATAGCACCTGGTGGTAAAACGAAGTCAGCAAAAATCTGGCAGCCAATAGGACAGAGCAAGGATAAGACAAACACAACTGTGGTAGATTTCTTTACCCTTGTATTCCTTCACCGTGCATGATCACGACACTACCAGTTCGTGATCACGACATGCTCCAACCCACCTGGCTTGCACATAGCCAGATGGTCTGGAGTGACATCACCTTGGCTGGCTTAGCCGGCTTCCAGTGATAGCGGGTTGAATTGGACTTACGTAATAAGCACAGCTGTGGGTAATGGGAATAAGCCGTTAATCTGCCTCAGGGTTGATGGAATTGATAAAGAAAAGTGCAGGAGACAGGAGCTGAAAGTTGAGTACACGAGAGCTATAGATTTAATTAGGTCTAATGGAGGGGTCTCGATCACATGTAGCATTTTGCCTACAAAGAGAGTGGGCAATGAATGGATGTCTAGGGCACTTGGTGTAAATTGCTGGCAAGACAAGTACTATAAGTAACTTGGCAATCTCAGTCATTGACAAATGGAACAATTTCTATGGTACACATGATACATATGCAAGGGATGAGGTACATCTCTCTGGGGAAAGAGCAGAAGCATTACCCAGCTCTGTCAAGGGGGCTGTTGCTAAGTTGTCTGTGACTTTAAACTGACAGAAGATAGAGGTATGTGTGTGTGTGTGGTGTGTGTGTGTGTGTGTGTGTGTGTGTGTGTGTGTGTGTGTGTGTGTGTGTGTGTGTGTGTATGGGAAACAAACAGATTGTAGCACGAGAGATGAAAACAGCAAAAATTGAAAAGATACCTTAGCGAAATCTTCAAAAGACTTTGCTCATCATATATTCACAAATAAAATCAAAGGAATTATTCAACAAAGAGAGACAGTAGAGGGCAGTGACTTACATCCTTCAGGTCTAGTATACCAATAGTAGAAGTGCTAAAAATAAGATCAACTAAAACCAATTGCACGTACAAGAAGCATAGATATATGTATTATTGATATAACAGAATCCTTGTTCAATGTGATAGATAAATGCATTCTGAACCCCACATACAAGGCTATAATTTATTCCACACTGATAGGGTGAACAGGAAGGGTGGTGGAGTGGCGATGTATGTCAGAGACAATTTCATCTGTTGCATTAGACAAGATGTATAAGTGACAACGACGGTCACTGAATCTATTTAGCTACAGTTTCTTCAGGGACGTGAAAGGCTAATCTTGGGTGTAATTTATAGGCCCCAAACCTTGGTAGGAAATACTAAACTTCTTTGGGACGAAATTACTAAGGCATCTAGATACAAAAATGTTGTGTTGGAGGGAGATTTTAACTTTAGCCACTTTGGTTGGAACAACTTGACAGGAAATCTTAGGTCTAGCGACTTTCTTGATAGATCCAGGATTATTTTTAAAACAGTTTGTGACAGAACCAACTAGAGGAAATAACCTGCTTGACTTGGTTCTTGCTAATAAAGAATCACTAGATATTAATCTTTAGGTTAATGATGAGCTTGGAGAAAGCAATCACAAATCACAGTTTAAAAAAAATCATGGAGTTAAATTAATAACTACAATCAAATCAAAATTCCTGATTTTGTTCAGCCGATTTTGTGAAACTGAGTGATTATCAAAGTAGAGTCGACTGGTGTGACCTGTGGGTCATGTAGGTGGAGATGGTAATGAATGTGACATTTGTCAAACCATAGTTCAAGCTGCCCAGACACCTAGTAGTGAGAAGGGTTGGATTCCAGAGAGACCTGACTTCTTACTTCTACTAGTGGATCCCGTTCCTTCAACGTCTTCAAGATCTTCCACCTCACTTTCGACAGTACACAGTATTTAAGACTCCATTTTCATGCTTCAGCTTCATATCGTTCCAGACCATGAAGTTGAACTCGGTCTTCCTGTTTGACTACCATATCCCTAGTGACTGTGATAATACATAATTTATCTTCTTCAGGCCCACTATAAAAATTAATTACTGGGATATTGTTAGTATTTTCCTGTGTGAAAACCGAGAGGAAATAATTATTAAAAATTGAGCACATTTCATTCTTTTTCTCAGTAAGATGCTCAGTTATTTTTAAAGGGGCCTATCTTTTCTTTAACTTTTGTTCTATATAAAAAAAAACTTTCGGGTTAGTTTTTGAACCCCTAGCAACTTTAATTTCATAGTCCCATTTAGATTTTATCTCTTTTTAACCTCCCTCTTAATGTGTATATATTTTCATAAGATGACCCTCATCTCTTCTGATGTGCCCATAAATTCCTTTCTTCTGCCCTAAAAGATGTTTGAGCCTATTCATCCATTTTGGGTCACTTCTATTGTATCATATTTCTTTATACAGAATAAATGTTCTTTGGCCAGCATGTATAGTGTTTAGAAAGCTGTCATACTGATAGCTCTTTTTCTTACTCCAGTCCACAGATGATAGGTGTTCTCTAAGCCCATTGTAATATGCTAAGCAAAAATCTGGGACCATTACTGAGTTATCCCTACTATCATACTTCCATTCACTGCTAAAGGTCACTTGTGGTCACTTGTGCCAAGTTCCTCATTAATTTCTAAATTATTAACAATGGTTTCCTTGTTTTCCAGAACCAAGACAAGCACGTTATTTCTGTAACAAACTACTTTAAAAAAAATCCTGAACTACCTCTAAAAAGTCGTTAGACTCTAAATTCCGGGTTAATCTGACTAAAGTTTAAGTCCCTTAGAATTACTATGTTTTCGTGCCTTGTGGCCCCTAACAATTTCCTCCTAAAGTCGTCTCCCTTGGTCCCTATCCAAATTTGGGGGACAGTATACTATGCCTAAAATCAATTTTTTATGTGCCTCTGAAAATTCTACCCAGACAGACTCTGTATGTTATTTCAGACTTTATACCCATTTTTATGCAGTGTCACCCAACCCCCTTTCCGATACTTCTGTCTACGATACTTCTGTCTACGTGGAACAATTTAAAACCCTGAACGTGACATTCAGCAGGCATGTCCCGATTTTTCATATTAAACCACGTCTCAGTTACTGCAAATACATCATTGTTACCCGCACTTGCAACTATTCTCAACTTGTCCATCTTATTTATAGCACGCGACTATTTGTATAACATAAATTTAGATACCCTTCTCTTTTCCCTTCCTGCTCATTTCTGTTCTTCCACTATATTACTGTCCTTGTCACTTAGTGCAACTGGTTTTCCAATATTCACTAATAACTCTATACCCCATTCTGCCTATAGCTGGTTTCCCTAAAACTCACACTATCACTAGAGGGATTAGTACCAAATTTGCACATGAATATCACTCCCTACGAAAGCAAAAGACTCGGCAGGGACACCACTAGCACGATCAGAGACAGCACAGTAAGTGTCAGGGGCCCCAGGACTGTTCAACTGCTTCCCAGCATACGTAAGGGGGATTACCAATAGACTCCTGGCTGTCCTCAAGAAGGCTCTGGACAAGCACCTAAAGTCAGTACCTGACCAGCCGGGCTGTGGTTCATACTTCCGTTTATGTGCGGCCAACAGTAACAGCCTGATTGATCAGGCCCTGATCCACCATGAGGCTTGGTCACATACTGGGCCACAGACATGTTGACCCTCGAAATTCTCTCCAGGTATAATGAGAATTCATCGTTTTCCCACAAAAACCCATAACACGATTTCTGGTTTAAAGCCCTAACAGCCCCCTCCTCTGCATTGGTTAGTGCTCCCACCCCAAACCTAAATAAGTGAACCCCATCCCTTGTATACATGTCATTTCTGCCATAGAAGGGGTCCCAGTTGTCTATGATGTTATTGCATTTTCATTAGCGTTTGTCCAGCCACCAATTAACACCAATTGCCCTGGACAACCATTCATTTCCAAGTCCTCTCCTCGGCAAAATGCCACATATCACAGGGCTCCCATCCTTCTTCCTAATTATCTCTAGTGCTGACCTATACCTGCTAATAAGATCCTCACTCCTACATCTGCCAGCATCGTTGCCTCCCGCACTGAGACAGATAATAGGATGGCTCTCATTATCTCTCATGATGTCGTCCAGACGGCTAACATTATCCTTCATCCCAGCCCCAGGGAAACATACTCTCTGCCTCCTCTTCCTATCTCTTAGACAAAAGACCTATCCATAAACTTAACCTGACTGTCCCCAACTAAAACAATGTTCTTACCTTCACTGGTGGTGTTTATTGTGACGTTCTCGATGGTTTTCGTTGGGATGGTCTTCATTGGAATGGTCTTCGCTGGGGTTTCTACGGTCAACTCAACCTCATCTGCTAATGCTTCCTTGGTGCTCATTGTGACATTCCCACATTCGTAGGTTAGCACAGAAAATGGGTTCGAAGTTTCCACAGTAGTCTCCCGGTTCAGTCATTCGCCGTATCTGGAGCTTAGCCACTCATAGTTCCTCCATGAGCTGCTGGTAAAGTTGCTCAATAGAGGACATCTTGGTTCAGATTCACAAAGAGCAAGCTAGACACATCTTCACAGAAACAAGATGCATGTCACCATTGAGAAGCAAGGTACATGTCAACACTGAGAAGCAAGGTGCATGTCACCACTGAGAAGCAAGGTACATGTCACCACTGAGAAGCAAGGTACATGTCACCACTGAGAAGCAAGGTACATGTCACCACTGAGAAGCAAGGTACATGTCACCACTGAGAAGCAAGGTACATGTCACCACTGAGAAGCAAGGTAC